GTGAGTTGATATCCCTGAGGTAATTTGTTGTAATCCCTTTAAGAGATTTAAAATATGAGAAATCTGGGAAAAAATTAATGAAACCGTCTGAGCAGTCAATAGAGATTGATCCTTCAGTGGTTTGAGCGATTCACAAGCCATTCCACAAGGTGATGAATCTCCATTCGTGGTCTGGGGTTCCTGTAGCCCGACCAAGGGAGGAGGAGATGACTGAATAATGTCCACCCTCGAGGGGGAATGACTAGTAGCTGACTCGTTTGTGGTAGGCTGTTGTGAAATCGGAAAATATGTTTCCAGTCTTGACTGTTTAAGTGTTGGGAGCATCTCCTGAGGAGAGCTAGAAGGAGAAAGTGTGTGAATTGTAAACAGGCTCCGTAACCAGCATCTTCAGGCAGTAAATCACTCGTAGGCTCGCAGAGCATAGAGGCAAGGTGAAGAAGCCAAAAAGAGCTCAAAATGTGGGGTCAAGATTACTTATAACGAAGAGCAGAAGGGTCACGAGACAACATAAATTAGAAGAAAACAGGAAAAATACTCACATTACCGGAGCTCCGAAATCCAGCGTCTGGTGGCTAGGACTCTCCCACGTGACCAGTTCCATTTTATCTGCCAGCAATAAAGCTAGAATATATAAATCCAAGAGAAGTGACAGAGGGGAGGCAGGGCGGGATGATTCAATTCACAGAGGTCCACTTGAAGAACCATGGTTACAGGTGAGTAACCTTTCTTCATCGTGGCCTCTGTGAATGCACACAAATGTGCGAATAGCAAGTTCACTTACTGGATGCCGTCACTCTATCGTGGCCTCTGTGAATGCACACAAATGTGCGAATAGCAAGTTCACTTACTGGATGGAGGGCCGTCACTCTAGTATCGATGTCAGGACTGCTCTCCCAAATTTTGCCGCCTCCTTGGCTCGGAGGTCCAGTCTATAGTGCATCACAAACGTGGACGCTGGTTGACCAAGTAGCTGCTCTGTAAATGTCTGGAACATCAACACCACGCAACAAGGCTGTGGACGTTGCCATGGCTCTGGTCGAGTGTGCCTTCAAACCCTCTGGAAGGGCCTTGCCTGTCAGTTCATACGCAAGAGCAATAGCCAAAACAAGCCACCTTGAAATTGTAGAAGGAGATGCAGGTGATCTCTTATGCAGGCCATAGACACCGCTTGGGAGACGCATGAAAGTCTTTAGCCCATGATGTGTAATACGTAAGGGTCTACGGACATCTAAGGAATGAAGCATACGTTCTGTCTCTGAAGAAGGATCAGGGAACAAAGTCGGCAAAATCAAGGGTTGGTTCAGGTGGAAACTGGACACAACTTTAGGAAGGAGACATCAGAGTAAAGGACCACTTTGTCACAGAAGAATTGTAGATAGGGAGCATCTGCTCGTAGAGCTGCCAGCTCACTTGCCTTTCTTGCAGACGTGATAGCCACCAAAAATAATGTTTTGAAGGATAGCAGCCGAATGTCAGAGGTGGCCATCAGTTCAAAGGGTTCCCATGTGAGAGAGTGCAGTACAAGTTATAGAGACCATTGTGGTAAGGGAGGTTTGACAGGAGGGTAAAGGTTACACAGGCCCTTTAGAAAGGACTTAAGCGTAGGGTGGGAAAACAAGCGGGCTGATTCCGAATTGCGAGGCTGGAAGGAAACAATTGCTGAAATATACACTTTTAAGGTTGAAAGGGCTAAGCCGAGATCAAATAAGTGACGTAAGTAGGTGAGAAGAGTGTGTAGTGAAATAGGCAATGGTTGTAGAACCTTAGACTGTGCAAACTTCAGGAAGTTGTTCCACTTATAGGAATACAGTTTTGTAGATAGTTTCCTAGCTTTATCCAGAACTTCCTGAATCAAGGGTGAATCCTCCAGGCTGTCAGATGTAACGACTGGATGTCTGGATTGTAAATGCTGCCTGCATTCTGAGTGAGCAGATGAGGGAGAAGTGGCAATCTCATTGAATCTGTGGCTATCTATTTGAGAATGGTAAACCATGGCTGACGTGGCCAGCATGGCGGCATCAATATGACATTGGCTCTCACTTGTCGAATCTTGACAATAGTCCTTTGAATAAGTGGTATGGGCAGGAACAGGTATAGCAGGTCTGTGTTCCAGTGAATCATGAATGCATCCCCTAGATAATTGTGACCTCTGCCCGCATGGGAACAGAACATGGTGCATTTCGTGTTTTGATTTGTCACAAACATATTGACTAGTGGAAAACCCCACCTCTCGCAAATCGTGAGGAAGGTTGGTGTGTTGAGCTCCCATTTGTGATTCTGTGTGGTCATTCGACTCAATGTGTCTGCTACCTCGTTGTCGGTGGTGGATACATGAATTACTGGAAACACCTGATGGTCATAGCACCACTCCCAGAGGTCGATTGCAAGATAGAGGAGGGACATGGATCAAGTTCCACCCTGCTTGTTGATATAAAACATTGTTGTGGTGTTGTCAGTAACTACAGTGGTGCCCTGCATAGCGACGTTAATCCATTCCAGGGACAGGCCTGCCAACCCCCGCCACCCCCCCGCCACCCCATGACCCTCATGGTCAGGTGATGGTCTGGAGAGATGTGCTTTCTTTTGGCCAATCTCTTTTGAGGTGGACATTCCGGTCCCAAAGAAACTGACGGGGACCGATGCACAATCGACGCCCGCCCAGTAAATACAGGGCTATGATGGGCAAAAGCCAGGCTAAATAAAACATTGTCTTCTAGCTGGCTTGGGCTAGGCAAACGGCTCACTGCGTGGGGCAAAGCCTGTGCCTGTCAGGGTGGGAGCGATGGAGCCACTTCAGATAAAGACTCCTGGTCTCAAGAGGAATCCTCCAAAATAGCAGATGGAGGAGAAGTCGGGACTGTGGGAGTATCCCCTTGGTGATCCCTCTTGTGTGTCTGCTTATCCTTGTTTCTAACGGTTGTCTTTTTCTTTTTCAGCTTTTCCTTGGATGGCATACTTGAACGATCCGTCGACGTCAAGGTAAGCGGTCTTTTTGTCCCTGAGGTGGAGGATTTTTTAATATGTTTTGTTGGTGGTTTTCGGTGTCAGTAGTAAGGCTGGTGAGGAAACTGAATCCTCTGGGCGTGGAGTGGCAGAAGGGGTCGAGACAGGCTCCATCTTAGCTAGTTTAGATGGCAATAATGTTTTATCTCACAGGTAAAGTTTTAACCACTGCTGCCTCGCTTTAAGGGCGGGCACTGTAAATTTTTTTACAATGTCTACAAGATTGGGGTATGTGAGCTTCTTCTAAACAAAATAGGCAGTGGTTGTGACCATCCAAAAAGGGGAGTTTAGGAGTACACGACATGCACCTTCTGAAAGGACCCGAAGGGGACATAAAGCGGAGGACTAAAGGGACCCTCTAAAAACTCACAAAGCCGAAGACGAATCCTAGTCAGTCCGGGTCACAACCAATGAAGAATATCACATTAAAAGAATAAAAAGTATTCAAAGGCAGTCCAGTTTGGCACCAGAAATATCACCAGTATCAAAGCCAGTCCGAAGTAGAAAGTGCGAGGATGGTAGCAGTCCGAGTCTTGACACAAAAAATTCCAACCAGCAAAAAGACGAACACGAGGGGCAATGGGATGTAAGAATAGTGAAAAAATTGTAGTCAGGCAGTTCGAGTCTAAAGCATAAAAATCAGTATAAATGCCAGCTCTATACCGAGTGGAGCATGCGCTGTAGGGGCAACTCTCAACTATGTTATTTTTTTAAAAGCTCTAGAATATTCCGAGGAGTCCTGCGCAGGTGCAGACTGAACCCATTTGTGTGCATTCAGAGGCCATGATGAAGAAAGGCAGGTTTAAAATAGTTTAAACAAACAAACCAATGCTCCATGTTACTTTCTCAGTAATGTCACAAAGAGGGCCAAGCTGAGCTGCACGTACGTTCCAAATTCACATGTTTAAATACAGATTTGAACTTGGGGCATGCTGGTCATACTTTGATGCGACAATATTGGATATAAGCCAATTTCCACCATGGCTGCTCTTGCATGCATAAGGCCATGTACAAATCTAGGAGCAAGGGAGACCTAGCTTCTAATGCCCACTCTGCCATAAACCTATCTCACAAGGTCATTGTAAGGATAAATCTGAAAGGGAATGGACATAATTCCATTGAAAGTAGTGGTTCGCTCAAAACAGCACATTTAGCAAACTAAATAAATCTTCACTGGGCAACCTTAAACCACTCACTTTCTTCAGCTTGACTTACTTCTCAGAGTAGCTACAAGGATTAAACAGTGGGGGTGAGTGGGAGAGAGCTATGTACACCATCTTGAACTCAGAAGGAAAGGCAGGATATAGCGATAACTAAAAATGAAATAACAATGGCTGAAACTCAGTAGTAAATCTCACGGTAGGCCACTGAATCACTGAGGCAACTCCTTCATACATTCCACTGATTCAACAGGCTGCTCTAGTTGCAACGCACTATGTTCTTTCTTGTGCCAATTGCCAAATTGCCCACAATTGTTCTCTTCCAAAGGTGTATTCCCTTCCATGGGCCAGAAAGAAGCCAACACATAGGGAATTCAAATACAAGCAGCTTCAGAATTCAGCTCAATTAAATTCTGGACTCTACCTTTGTAATTCTGTAACATGACAACCATACAAGAGCGTGTCCATGTTTGGGACTCAGTGTTAGATTTATTGCTAATACCACATAATCCTATATTTTCTCAGTATTTCTTTTGGGGGATATACTTCTTGAACAGTCCCAAAGGGTCATTCTAACAAGACTCACACTTTTTATAAATGCAGCATTTTAAGATTCATCTCTGTATGCTTAGTGAAAGAGAAACTGTAAAGACCATTTTATAGCGAAAAAAAGCTACTGTTCATCTTTCATAAATATATGGATTTTACTACACAAATGGAAAAACCCAGACTTTTAATTTTAATACGTCTCTTGATTCTTATTGAAGTGGGGAAAAAACACAACCCAACAGAAATTATTTACATGCTTACTTGAAAATTTTATTGACAACTGTTTGGTCCCAACACACAAAACAGCACTTGAACCACAGATGTGTCCAAATGAAGGAGATAATTTGGGGGGGGGAATGAATGTTGTCTCCTATCCCATCCCATCCCATTTGGAGAGTGCAGAAGTCCAGGGCTTCAGTGATACTTGCCTAAACAGCCAACAAATAAAAATAAGTAATATTTAAATTAAAGAATCTCATTTGTCGTAATTCACTTTTTGAATCTGTCACATTATTCCTTCAAGCCTTTTTAGAAAAAGAAAAAATGATTTCAGATGGTCTCACACTATGAAACAAACCCAAAATTTCCCAAGTGACATTCTAATAACTTTCAAACAGCAATTTCGGTCAAAAATGTGCATGAAACCAGAAGGATTTCTTACCCTTTACGAATGGCATAACCACACCTGCACTTTAGGTATCCAATAAGTACTGTATCTCATTTTGTAGTTTCCATCAAAACTGGGTTCTAGTACATTTTAGATGACTTGCAACTGTAGCTCAAAATGACGACTGTCACGCATGCCAAACACAAGGTGATCAGGTCTCTATGTTATGCAGCTTATACATACAAAAATGGAAAAAGGTCTCAGCAAATACATTTAGAAAGTGGTTAAAAAAAGTTCTAAAAATTCATTCAGATAAACCATGTTTGCAGAAGAAATGTAAGAATACAAAACATGCTGTGCCTTGCCATGAGCTCAGAAAAACTTCCAGTGTTTCTCTGGATTCACAATGGCTATAACGTAGCTGTGTTTAATACCTTGTTTTGTTTAAAAGCATTTTTTAAACAAAATCCACTTTAATATTTTTAAAAGCTGTCTATAGCCATCAAGTGGCATTTTCCAGTTGCTGGTTTTGAAATCCAAGCCTACTTTTCAAACTTTCTCATACATTACAAAATATAATGGCTGCAAAACCCCCACTAATGTCCATTCGGCCAGTGGAAACCTTTGGTATAGGTTCTTTCCTTTTGATGAGCAATAAGAATCTTTGCCTGGCAAATACAACCCATTGTAAATGCCAAATTTACCCAACAGGGGTAATAAAACTTTAGAAGATGTTTTAACTTTCCAAAGAAAGTAGAAAGGACTCCACTGACTTGCTTCCCTCAGCCAAGGCTGGCCTCTCTAAAAGCCAACAAAAATACCACTATAGGAACTGGAAGAAAAATAGACACAGAAAAGCAGCACTGAACACCAGATGTAAATGTCAGAATAAAAACTAGACACAGTTAAAAACATACAACATATTAAGCTTCCCATTTATTGCATGTTTAAAAAGTTAGAAAACAAGGTTAAACACCATAACCTTGGGATTTCCACGTACTGCTCACATTTCTGTGCAAGTGGAGTAGCAGCATTATTTCCCGTCTTAAAAAGCTCCTTTAACCCATCATTGCAATTCATAATTTATGCACTTAGATGCATATTTTTGAAATCTCAAATACTGCCAGTAATCACATCAGCAGATGCAACAAAAGCATCTCATAGTTCACTTCAAAATCCTTGACACCAAAACCACTTTCTTCATCCAAATCAGCATTAACTTGGAGCAATCATAAAAGGGAAGCTTAAAATATCCTCAACTTCCTACAAAATTCATTAGTGGGACTGCATTACTATAGAAATCATTTAAAAGGGATTCCACAATAAACCAAAAACTGTAACAGTCGTCTTCTAGTGTCAATTACAAGTCATACAAAACATTCTCCATGATGGCCTTGCCAGAGACCTTATTGCAGGTTTCATGCTGATCTACAATCATTTTTAAAAGTTCCCAATAGATTCTTTTGCACACGGATTACAGTCTGAAAAAACAAGTAAGAAATACCCTATGGATCTGTATGGTATATGAAGGATTATATCACTTATATGAGGTTATTCAGAAACTTAACATCCATCCTGTACTAAATCAAGGTTTATCGTTTGCTTTTTGCTGACGTTCAACACAATGAAAAGGTAAAACATTATTTCTGACAAATGCTTGAAGTACAAATAAAAATACTTGCTCAGCTGAATTCAGTGTAAATTGAACAAAATCCTCATGAAAGGTAGTCAACCATGACAAAGAGAACACAAGTGACCCCTCCCAGCTCCAAATTTGTGATTAAAAATATAAAGGGTAGCCAATAGCTTTGTTTACTGTGCAATCTAACAATGTGTAGCTTTTCACACCACAACAGGATTTAAAGCTTGGTTACAGGTGCAAGTGAAAAATTTGCTGCCAACTTTATTCTGTTTTTATGCTGCTTTTTAGCTGGGCTGTCCATGGCTTCTTTGCTTGACTGGGATTCAGAGGAAGATGCTGCCTGGAGGTTGCTCAGTTCTGAAGGACCAACAGCCTTCTCCTTTTCTTCAGGGAAAGTCATAATTTCTAAAATGAAAGTAAGACAGCTGAGTTTTTAAAAGTGCATTTTTTCTTTCAACATATGCATTTCTATGAGAACTAACACACTGAAATTTAGTGAAAAAGCATGTTGCTAAGTGCTATGTGTTAAATGTACATGAATGTGGCAGGTATGTGAACTGTGAATGTCAGTCCACCAGTGGCCAGGATCCAACTTCCACTGGACTCTGCTGTTTTCACCAAAATGGGGAATTCCTCCTTGCTCTGGAAGGCTAGGAAATCCTTTGTAGGATACTTTTGGGGTTATAGAATGCTGCAGATAAAGGAGTGGGAGGGAAGAAAGTCCTGAATTTTTGGTTTTGGATACCAAAGTAAACAACTGGATCCTATCTAGATAGAGGCTAGAAATGCAAGAAAAGCTCATCTTGTAGACTGGAAAGTCTCAAGTCAAGAAAAAATAGGTTCCTGAGCTTATACTCAGTGGCATGTATGCTTGGTTGGCTTTTGGGAACATGAAAGGGATAGCACAAGAAGTTAAAGGGGGTGTCTTTCTCTGGATGTAGAAAGCCCCAGAAATCCTTTAAAACAATGATAAAAAGTATCCAAAGGACTGAGGATCTGAATATTCTAGGCTGGTTCTAGTCTCTTCTCAACCTCAAATTATGCACAGTACACACTTTGAAGTATTGTTGTTAAATATCACAAAGTACTGTGGATGCTATTAATCAAAAAAATGATTTTTCACAAGACACAGAGGTATTTCATTGCTAAAAGGGGTAATACCACTTCTCATTTTAGCTCTCTATTATAAGAAAGCAAAATGACTCCCATGATTTCTCTTTCATTAAAGGTACTCTATTTCATGAATCAAAAAGTTTAGGGCAAATGAACCATTTCAAGATTAAATTAGTTTAACAAAATTACCACCTTGTTCTCCAAGTGCTGAACAGAATGAAGTGGAAGTACTTCAGGCTACAGTTGGGGATTTGCTTTTCAAACACTCCCATTTGTTAAAAAAAATCCACTTTGCAAGCAGAAAATGAATAGACCATTGGAAATAATGGCTAGAATGCCCTTAATATGTTAGCATTATTTTTATAAGAGAAACATTCACAATCATATACAGTGGTGCCCCACATAGCGAGGTTAATCCATTCCGGATTAACCTTCGCTATGACGAAACATCGCTAAACGGGACGGAAAAAGCCATTGGAACGCATTAAACTTAGTTTAATGCATTCCAATGGCTTCTTTACTCACCGTTATGCAATGTTTCCTCATTGCAACGCCATTTTTGCGCCCTCGGTAAGCAAGGGCAAGGTGCGAAAATGGTTGCGGCGCCCATTTTGGGTCGCGTGGTGGCCATTTTGGAGTCGCTGAACAGCTGATTGTCGGGCGTTGCAATGCGAAGATCAGTAAGCGAAATGCTTACCGGTCTTCGCAATGCGATTTTCACCCATTGGGGCCATCAGTAAGTGATCGCATTAGCGATCCCAAAAAAGGGATCGCTATGCGATTTCGGCGTTATACGGTGCGCTCGTTAAGCGAGGCACCACTGTATTCAGCTACCTATATTTTAAAGTGACACAATATATTCTTCCTCATTTTGCTGCAAAAAGACCATGCTTCTGGTGTGTTTACCTTCCTCTCACTTGTATTACAAATTTTAAGGGTTTTAGGGCATCTGAAAGACTAATATGGTATATTTGGCACAAGCTTTTTTGTGGACTACAGCCGAGATATTCAGAGATAGTTCTGGTTTTAAGAACAGATAATGAAATGAAACATAGCTCCTAAATGGAAGTCGTCAGCAATCAGAGGTCTTGCTGGAGATTAGAATATTTAGTTGTGATCTATTTTACCAGAAACAGCTGGTGGATGTTCTTCAAACTGAATGAGGTCTGCATATTCAAGAACAACGGGATCTGGCTTCAGCTGTGGGGACGGTAGGCAGGACGGGACTGGCTCACATAAGAGATCAACAGGTGATGTATTTGTGAGGCAAAGCAGTTCTTGCTCAGTTTGATTAGAAACTGCAAGAAAAATAAAAAGATTACAAATAAAGCAACTTCCTTAAAAGCCCTGAATGAAGTGTGACCCAGAAGATCATTTTCAGAGACATATCAGTTACCATGACCTTTATTTTAAGGCAGAAGATCTTAAGGCATCTCATGCTTTGAATTTACTGGAGTACATCTTCTTGGGCATTTTAGACCCATGCCCCCTCTTCTTATGAGAACCATAAGAAACCCATGCTCCCCTTCAAGACTGCCTCTTCCATAAATGTTATTTGAAATGTGTTCTGCTTCTAAGCTTTGACATAGTTTACAAAAAGTAGTATCTATATGTATAATGCCTATATTTCAACAAGGATGTAATTGTTTCATCTTTTAATAAACTGATCAGGAACTTTTCCAAATATAAGATGCCTAGCTAATTATTTAGAAGAACACAAGAGAATTCACATAGTAGGTTCATAATGCATTCACCACAAATACTTTTTTAAAAATAGATAAAACAGATTTTTCCCCATCAGGAATCAAGCAAAACTCAAGCTGAAGATAAGAATTACATCTCAGAAAAAAGCTGGTCAATTATACTAAAGAGACTTGGGTGAATCCAATGGAATAAAAAAATTGTTGAACCTGTTTTAAAAAAGAAATTGTGCCATAGCTGAGGTGATACCACCAAAATGAGCAAAAGAGGAACAGTTTTGAAAAAGCAGAGATGAAAGTAGATTTTGAACATTTGGGTGATGCTCAAACTTCTGGAGGGAGGGGCCAGACCCCACTCCTCTGACCCTTTGTGAGCTGGATGGCATGGTTACTCACTGAGGAATGAGTATTTTTAATCTGTCTTTTAATCTGTCAACAGACCCCAGAGTGGTGCATGATCAATAAAATTATATTGGAGCAATCTACAACAATTTCTTGCAAAACAAAAGCCAGCAAACAGAGAGACTAGGAACCAAGCCATGAGGATCAAACCAGGTGCCAAATGTAGACAGGCAAGTTTTAATTTGCCCTCAAAACAAAGCCAACGGCAGCATCTCAACCTATTTCTCCACCAAGATTTAGTGCTGCTTTGACATACAATACTTGCCCTATCTATACACGGATAGACAGACCCACACAGAAAGTCACGTCTTGACTTTCAGTTTATCCATCGGTGGCCCACAGAATCAAACAGTTTTATTCTAATTCATTACCAGCATCGGGCGTTTCCAGTTTCAGTTCCAAGGAGACACTCGCCGTGGCTGGCTCTACATCCTGTTCCTCACTGCCAGCAAGCTGGTTGCCAAGATCCTCATCAGCAAGAGGGAGACTGGGTGAGCTAAAACGAGCTACAAGAAAGCAGGTGGGTTGGCAATATTCCTCCTCAGCAAATCATATTGCATAAGCATGGTGCAAGGACATGGGTCAATGCAAAAGTTGGCGTACTCACTTTTCATGTCATTCTTTAAGACGACAATTCTCTTATGACCATGGCCTTTTATCCATACTACCTAATTAAAAGCAACAATGACAAAAAGGTTGAAGTAAGATATGTGAACCTAGAGACTATTTTTTTCAGTTTTAGGAACAGATTCTCTTGTCTCTTTCTTTCCTTCTTGAAGTGAACTATATTCAGGTTGGATGCCAACAGTTTCAAAAGAGCTCAAAACTATTTTGCCTCAGGTATAGCAAAGTATCACCATATGCTTGTTTCAGAAAGAATTGCTCTTGCCTTATTAACCCTTTTATTATATACGCTTTTCTTGGTACTATGGGTTTCCTTCTGCATTACATTTAAGCAACAATCAGCAGAAAAAAAAATATTTTACATGGACATTCTGAACAGATGAAGTTAGCTTTGGGGGAGAGCAACCAGGCCACATATTCATTCTCGAGCCTTCTAATATATTAAACCAAAGCAAGATTTAAAATACATATACAGCAAGCACTTCACATTAACTTGTTGTAATCTTGAGCAAAAGAGGTCAACTGTCAAGGCTTAAACATCTGCACATCTGCTCTCCTGGCATCAATGCTAAAACTGACACCCTTTAATTCTCAGTTGCATAAAGGGAAATCCATGATTTGGGGGAAGTCAGAGGACAGGTGAAATTGATTTGTCCCTACTCATACCTTTATGGCCTATGTTTCATGGTTCTGAATTAGCTTTCCAAATAACTTATTCTGGATGTGGGAAACAAACTGTAATCCCAAGAGTTTACTACTGCAGCCAAATATTTATCCACCAAATATTTACTACTACAGCCAAATATTTATCCATTATTTGTTTAATTTCTAGGCCACCTTTCTCTTGGTGAATGGACCCAGAAGAAGAAGGGAAAGACTTAAATGAAAACGTGTTGCAAATGCATTCGAAATATCAAACGTGTATATTAAATTTATATTTGTCTCACTTAATTTTTTTATAATACTTAATGGTTCATTGCAGTGGTCATTATCAGTGCTAAAAGCTTTTATTTTTCTTCCAAAATAAGGACTATCAAAACTCTTTCCCCCACCCCAACATTTTAATAGAAAAAAAACTCCTGAAACAATAATGTTAAAAAGCTATTAAATTTAAATTATGTTACTTCTGAAATATTTTGTAATGTCCATCAAATTTTAGATGGTAATCTAAAATTAGCGGCCAAAAATGGATTCACTAGAATTTTAATTTAATGAAAGTTCTTATTGAACCTATCAAAGTCAAGCTTGAAAATATTATTTTTCATTACCCACAGAGGGTAACAATTTATCTTTAATACCACAGATCAATCTTCCGTTATTGGAAATCTTTAAATCCTGTGTCTAAAGAGAGCTTAACGGTTTCCAACACATATCAGCATTGAAAAACAATGCATGCCTAGACTATGAACATATCCTGTCTATACCTCCTTTTCCTCTTTATTGCTCTTCTTTCTGGATTTCTGCATTTCATAAGTGGAAAAAAAATCTAGACATCTACTAAGTTATGACTTCACGAAAGATTGGAGCTCTTATAAAGAAGTGTTGTTTTAATGATGCTCACTGCATTTCTACGTTGTTGTTTAGTCGTGTCCGACTCTTTGTGATCCCATGGACCAGAGCATGCTGTCTTCCACTGCCTCATGGAGTTGGGTCAAATTCATGTTGGTCACTTCGATGACACTGTCCAACTATCTCATCCTCTGTCGTCCCCTTCTCCTCTTGCCCTCACACTTTCCTAACATCAGGGGCTTTTCCAGGGAGTCTTCTCTTCTCATGAGATGGCCAAAGTATTGGAGCCTCAGCTTCAAGATCTGTCCTTCCAATGAGCACTCAGGGTTGATTTCCTTTAGAATGGATAGGTTTGTTCTCCTTGCAGTCCACGGGACTCTCAAGAGTCTCCTCCAGCACCACAATTGAAACACATCAATTCTTTGGCGGTCAGCTTTCTTTATGGTCCAGCTCTCACTTCCATACATCATTACTGGAAAAACCATAACTTTGACTATTATGATTTTGTCAGCAAGGTGATATCTCTGCTTTTTACGATGCTGTTGAGGTTTGTTATCGCTTTCCTCCCAAGAAGCAGG